GAGCTCTTTCTTCTCTTGCTCGGCCTTTTCCGAGAGCTCTTGGGTAAGACTCTTCTCTTGGCTCACCAGGCGTTCTTTTACGTTGGCCAAAGATTTCTCCATGGCTTCGTAAGAGTGCATTTTTTGGCGAAGAGGTTTCAGCTCGGCCTTAAGATTTGTGACGGTCGCCTCCAGCTCGTCAACCTTCTTTTGGGCCGCCTCTAACTGAGCCCGAACAGCGGCGGTAGCCTGCGCCTGATAATAAAGAAGATCAATGGTCAGTACTTCATTTTGGGCAATTTGAAACATTGCCTTATCACAGCTGGAGGCGGCCATAGCTTTTGCGGCCTTTACCTCTTTGTTTTTCCGATCAATCGGCTTACGAAGGCTGTTGACTCGGAGCAGGGCCTAAGTACAAAGAAAAACAGGCGTCAGGTTCCAAACAAAAAAGATAACAGGCGTCCTGGAACTCAAATACTCAAAAGTATGCTAAGTATACCTCAGCAAGGACCCCTGAAATCCCATCAAGGTCAAGGGTGCCGGCACCCCTGACCGCCTCCCTTTCAGATGGAGGAACTACTTTGACCATGGACTTGGCTACCTCAACCAAGTCAAGCCCCTGAGGTCCGGCTGCATCAAGCGGAAAAAAAAAAAAAAAAAAAAAAAAAAAAAAAAAAAGCAAGTTAGACCTAGTCAAGAAGGAAGCTAGTGTTAAAGTTTTTACAAGTGATTGTCCATACTTCTAGGCGGCCCCGCCGGGGTTTTAGAAGAAGTGGCCGGCTGCTTCTCAGCCGCCACTGTTTTCCTGGAAGACCCAGGAGAGCTTGCAACAGTCGTCCTTCGGGCCTTGGGGTCCGGCTGTTGCGAGGAAGAAGCCCTTGGAGTGCCAGACTGAAAACAAAAAGAGTTAGTATATGCATAAGACAACTAAAAGAGGAAGAGTTTTCGAAGCCTACCAAGGGTGCCCCCTTGTTGGGGGAGTCGGCATAAGACTGTTGCATGAGAGAGGCCCGCAACATGGCCGCCGCAGTCTTGGATGCTGTTATTTTACTCATGGCGTCAGCTGCAAGAAATAAACAGCAAAGTTAGTAAAAATCCCAAGTAAACAAGGCTTAAAAAAAAGAGTATTTGTCAGGCCGGCTACCTCTAGAGCACCGACTGCTGAGGCCACAGGCGGCCAAAAAGTACTCGTCATAGAGCCACTTGAAGCTCGGGACGCAGTTTAGGGGTACTTGCTCTCGTACCCCTGACGTAGGGTTCACCCTAGTCTCTACTTTGAAGAGTCCTTTGTCTAGGATCTCTCTTTTAGCCTTTGGGGGAACAGGCGGTATGCTGCGGCCGCCTGCGAGAAGAGGCGGATCCCTATTCCACTTGTTAAAACGTTGGTTCAGCTCCGTGTCTGAACCCTCAATGATAAGGAAGGTGTTCCGCCAATCCTTCCATTTGTTCGCCTTACCTCTCGTCATGAGGTAACCCCTATGGCTTGTTAATTGATACCAGCCGGTACCTCCCGACTTAGGGGTCCGGCTGAGATAGTTCATGTGGGCGAAAGCCTCAAAGCTTGGCTCCACCCCGTACATTTCGCACCCGGCCACATAGCCGAGTACGTTTACCCAAGAGTTGGGGGCTAACTGCCATAACCCCAAATCATACCCATCTAAAATCCGCTGAACAGCCGGATGTAATGGGAAGCGCAGTCCAGCTTTGATGGCCGCCACATAGCAGCCAAAGCAGCCGTCATCATAGCTGGTACCAGCCGGCCAGACGACAGTGTCTTCTGGATCCGGCACGAACAGTAAAAATTCCGGGCCCATTCTGTGGTTAGCAATAAAGCTCGCCACTTTGTCTTGCATGGTTGCGATCCGGCCCCGGGGTACCATGCAGTAGTAGGGGGCGTTTTCCTCTCTGTAAGAGGCGGACGGCTCCGCCCAATTGTCCCCCTTCTCAACTGCATGAGAAAGTCTCGCCTCTTGTAGGCGGCTATGTCTTTCTTCTGATCCTGAAGAGCTGTGGCCAGAAGAGCTGGACTCGGACTCGTCCTCTGACGAGTCCGAAGAGGACGACTCCTCCCCTCTCCCAGAGGGGCCCGCCTCCTCTCCCTTAGAAGGAGCAGGAGGAAAATTAGACATGTCCACGGTAAGATGGGAAGGGACCACTTTGGCCCCTCTCTCAGAACTGTCGGCTTGACAGTCGCCTCGTTTCAATTCTACATCTGGCGCCTGGTCAGATGTTTCACTAAGGAGCACCCTTTGGGAGGAGCCGTCTGAGTTTGATATCATAGCAGTCTGTTTTGTTCTGGCCATCACGTTCTGCATAGACACAGATACAGTCGGACTTTGTATAAAGGGCAAAGATGGGTCCAGAAAAGGGCAGGCGGCACTCCTAGTCCTAGATTCAGCCGTCCCCGGTGACCGGCTGATCACTAACTTAGGTCGTGTCGTGTGCTTCCGTGGTGCCATTTCAAAAAATAAAAAGAAAATTAAGAGTAAGAGAACTGAGTTACCTGAACGAGTGGCGGTTGATGAAGTTCTGGAAGTCCGGTGCAGTCGGCTTGTCAGAACAGGCGGTAGGCAGAAAAAGGTCCGAAATGTCAGAGCAAGTTCAGGGGTCCGAATGTTCTCGCAAAGTTCTCAAATGTGAAAATGACCGAAGTCAGCACTTCCTTATATAGGCAAGGTGAGAAGGCGAAAGGTCGCTTCCAAATTCAAAATTTGGGCGGGAAAATCTCTCGGCCGTTTGCAAGGTGACACCTGTAGCAGGCCGTCGCCTGTCACCGTGCGACACCTGTCACAGGCGACACGTGACCGGTCACGTGCCACCTGTGAGGGGCAAATGATTAGGGGATTTTTATCCACCAATCACCGTCTGACAAGTGGACCAACCAGGTTCCGCCACGTGTCCTTCACGAAGGCCAATAGGAGCCTACCACGTGTCAACCACAGATACGTCCTCTACGGACCAATCGAGGCACGCCACGTGTCCACCCATGCCAAATGGGAAAACCGGCCATCAAGGCCCAATCCTGTCTAGAGGCCCGGTCAGCTCTAGGTTTACCCTAAACCTAGAGAGTGGCACGCTTCTCAAGGCTATAAATACTTAATTAATCCTCATTAATTAAGCAATCAAGAAATCAAGAGAAGAACAGAAACATTACGGAACTCTAATAACCGGCTAATCTCGCTAACGACGCAGATTACCAACATTAAACACTCTCACCTAGAGAGATCTTATTACTTTACTTTCCGTATTAATTACTCCTTAATCAGGTACTAACTTGACCGTTGGAGGCGGAGCTCTCAGGAGTCTCCGTTATTTTGCAGGTACAGGCGTCCGGTTCCAGTCTCGGAATTGTAACTCTCCCGCAGGACATCAGAAAACCCCGAAACAAATTTGATTAATTAATTTCTCAAAAAAAAATCGTTTTGATTAAAGAAAAAAAAGAAAAAAAAATAAAATTGGACATCCACCTAAAAATTCTGGATCCTCCATGGTGGATCCGCCTAGAATTTCTGGATCCACCATGGAAGATCCGGGAATTCTAGGCGAATGTGTGGCATTTGCTTTCCGGATCTTCCATGGTGGATCTGGAAAATTTAGGCGGATGTACGCTTTTCAAAAAATAAAAAAAACTTCGAGGACTTACAGAATCCTCCAACGATGCCTCCGGTGTACGATCGTTGTCGTCATCCATCGTCCTAAACCCGTCGCTAAAGCTTAATAAATTTTTTTTTAAAAAAAAATGGGATTTTTGGTGGTGGGCTCGGGAATTTTTTTAACCAAGTGGTGGATCGAATGTGCTCGGGAATAATATTAAAATGCTCAGGAATCTTTTTAACCAAGTGGTGGAGCCTTATATAGTCCAAGTTATGGAAAGAGCAATATAGTCCTTTCATGTCAAAATGGGAGCGACGCCTGGTAAATTGGGAGCGACGTTTAGCAGTTCACAACTGTAGTCCGTTACTGTAATTATTTGTCAGTAGACAATAGTGTGAATGTGTGATTCACAGCCAACGGGAGGAAAAATCATTGGTTTCACACTGCTTTTATATAAAAACTGATAATAATGTAAAGTCCTTGTAATTCATCCTTCATCATTATTTACAAGAATTGTCTACCAGAATTGCAAGGCATAGAGAAAAGGGAGTGAACCACCAACAAGATTTTTTTTTTTAAAAAAAAAATAAGAAAATGGCAGAGGGAGTTCTTTTTGAGTTGGCTGGAACATTGTTGGAAGGCTTCGGCAAAGCAGCCATAAAAGAGGCTGCATCCTGGTGGGGTGCACGAGACAATTTGAAGAAGCTTGAGAAAACCATCAGGATGATCCAAGCTCGAGTTCGCGATGCTGAGAGGCACCAGGAAGAGGATGGCAGTGATGCCGTCAAAGAGTGGCTTCGCAGGCTGAGGATGGTTCTTTACCAAGTTGACGACCTGTTTGATCTTGTCCTTACTGTTGACCGCCAGAAACAGCAGATTGAAGTTAACAAGCAGGTTTGTGTTTCTTTCTCGAGGTCTGGCACTCTTTGTTTTAACTGGAAAATATCTCGAGAAATCAAGTCTATTCGACAACAACTTTATGAAATCAATTCAGATATTGCTGGCTTGAACTTGCCTGCCTATGGTCATAGAAATGAACCACAACCACCAAGGGCTCGTTTCATGAGGAATAGGGAAACATGCTCTTTTGTGAAAGCAGTTGATATCATTGGTAGAGAAAATGATAAAAACATGATAATTGAGAGGTTGTTAGATCCCAAATATGATGATGAAAAGGTTACTGTAATCCCAATTGTTGGGTTTGGGGGTATCGGAAAAACCACTCTTGCTCAATTGGTGTTCAATGATGCGAGAGTTCAGAAACAGTTTGATCTTGTTACATGGGTTTGTGTACCTGAGGTAGACAATCAAAAGGCGGTTATGGGGAAACTTTATAGGTGCTTCACTGATGAGGATTCTGTGACCGTTCACTGAATCAAATTAAATTGCAGATTCATGATTTTATAAAATGCAAGAAGTATCTTCTTGTCTTAGATGACATGTGGGATGATAGCCGAGATAGGTGGTTGGAGCTCATGAGCTTGTTGGAATGTGGTCGCATTGGGAGTAAGGTAATAGTAACTACGCGCTCTGATAATGTTGCAAAGGTTGTAGGCACAGTTACTAAATCTTATAAATTAGGATTTCTAACAGATGATGAGTCTTGGGAGCTTTTCAGAAGATTAGAATTCAAACAAAACCAAGAGGAGAGTAATCCTAATTTAACTCAGATCGGTAAAGAGATTGTTGGTAGTTGTGGAAACGTTCCCCTCGCTATCAGAGTTGTTGGAAGCCTCCTCTACTCTAAAGATAGTGAGAAAGAGTGGCAACTCTTTAAAGATGATCAACTATCAAAGGCAAAGCTGATGGAGGACGGCAACTTAATGCCTGTGTTAAAGTTAAGTTATGATTACTTAACTCCGGCATTAAAACAGTGCTTTGCCTACTGCTCATTGTTCCCAAAAGACTACGAGTTTAGCAAGGCTGGTTTGGTCCATTTATGGATGGCACAAGGATATTTTGAGCCATCAAACAGAGACATCGGAGATCAGTATTTTATGGAATTGTTACGGATGAATTTTTTTCAAGATCCGAAAGAAGATGGTAAAGGGAATGTAAAAACGTGCAAAATTCATGACTTAGTGCATGATTTAGCACAACACATAGCTGGTGCTGAGAACATGCTGTTGGGTGAGTCTTCAATGCAGGTCACTGACGAGCTTATACATGTATCTCTTAATGGATGGGAAGCTCCATCAGCATTGTTAGCTGCCAAGAACATACGATCATTGCTAGGATTATCTATTGAAAGGCCTGCTAGTCTTGAAGGGTTGATTTCAAGATTCCAGTCCTTACGCGTCTTGAGCTTGAACAATATTGATACGGTCCCAAGTTCTATAGGGAGATTGCGCCATTTAAGATACCTTAATCTTGCACGAAATTGTATTGAATGTCTTCCTAATGCCATAACGAGGTTAGAGAATCTCCAAACATTAAACCTTGATAGTTGTCCTTTCCTTAAGGAGCTACCAAGAGATTTTGCCAAATTGTCTAATCTCAGGCATTTGGTGATCAATTGGGATAATTTGACAGATTTGCCGTCAGGTTTTGGGAAAATGACAACTCTTCATGAGTTACATGGATTTATAGTTGGAAAAGGGAAAAATACTGGCATAGACTCACTGCCAGCCTTAAATCTTAGGGGAGAACTGAGAATTCAATTTTTCAAGTTGCGCAAAAATGCAGTGATTGAAGCTCAAAGGGCAACTTTGAAGGAAAATCAACAGCTGACTTCTCTTATATTGAGCTTTCGGGGAGAAGAAACTGCGCTTGATTCTGATGAATTAAAGAGGATGATATCTTGCTTGCAACTTCCTCAAAAGCTTAAATATCTGAAGGTTCTTGGATACAAAGGAGATGAGATGCCCATTTGGTGGTTTGATGGGTTGCGTAAGCTTGTTTCCATTAGCCTTGTGTCTTGCAATAATTGTAGAGTTCTCCCTTACTTGAGACAACTGCCTCATCTTAAATCTCTTTATCTTCAATCGTTAAATGCCTTGGAGTATGTAGAAGATGAGGGCACTAATTGGGTTGGTGGAAACTCTGATTCCACAGCTCACAATGACTACTTCCCTTTCTTAGAGGTCTTGGAGTTGGAGGATTTGCCGCGATTAAAGGGGTGGACTAGATCATCAAATGGTGAGGGTGAGCAAAGGAAGGAGTTGTTTCCTCGTCTTTTGCAATTGAAAATAAATGGTTGCAATAAGTTGATGTCAATGCCTTTTGCACCAAAGTTGGAGTCGTTAGAGGTACATAACATCAATGGGAGGTTGTTTAGATCCAATCTGATGTCACAACAGAATGATCAGGAAGCACCATCTTCATCTTCAAATTCATCTTCATCAATTCTTTTCACATCATTAAAGCGGTTGAAAATATGTGAAACTAATGATGGGCTAGTCTTTTTGTCTATTAGTAGTAGGTTGTGCAACCTAGAGACATTAGAAATAAGGCATTGCCACAAACTCTGGAGTTTGATATTTGATTCTCCAAATTCCATTCGACATCTTCTTATTTATAACTGCAGAAGCTTGAGAAATATATCAAAGGGAATACATCTACCCGTCCTTGAGACACTGACTATCCGAAACTACCAAGAGTTGGAAGAGGAGGAAGAAGATGAAGATGAAGATGAAGATGAAGATGAAGATGAGATGACCACCAGACCGGATTGGCAAGGCTTGAGGAGCCTCCACTCTTTGGAATTATCCTGCATCCCGAAATTGGAGAAAATCCCTCGAGGCATTACTTGCCTAACCATGCTTCAGCATCTGACAATAACGTTTCTCCTGAATCTGACAGCTCTCCCTGATGAGATCAGCAACCTCTCCTTGCTATGTGAGCTTCGGATCATAAAGTGTCCAAAATTGGCTTCACTTCCATCATCGTTACAAGGCCTTACATCTTTACAGAAGCTTTACATTAGAGGATGTCCGGATTTGGGAATAAGATACAAGAAGCCGAATGGCAAAGATTGCCACATTATTCAATATATTCCCCATACTGATATGTAAGTTTCTGAAAAAACCCTTAGCCCTTGTATGTCTACATCATATCAGTTAATCAGTAGAATGGTGAGTAGAAATTTTGAAAGCACTCCTAACTGTTTTTTTTTTTTTTCCTTTTCATCAGATCTACAGGATGCGAATTAAGTTTCCACGACGACTTAGACTTTATTGAATTGGGGAGGACTGATCGGGGAGTGCAAAGAATGCTAAGTCTGGTCTAGCGATTAAAATGCACGTGTGTTTAGGCTTCTCTTGGTGAGAGTAATTAATTCTGAATGTGTTAAATGGAGGCTTAATTACTGTATTTATAGCCTCGAAGTGTGTGCCCAATACTAGGTTTTAGGTAAACCTAGGACTGATTGGGCCTTGCCTCGGAAATCGGGCTTTGGTGGCCGTTTTCCAGGTTGGCATGTCATGGGCCACGTGGCGTGGCATGATTGTTCCATGCTGGACTGATTACTGCCTGACACGTGGCAGGCCCTGACTGGTCCATGTGGCGGAGACATGGCAGGACCTGATTGGTCCACGTGGCAGACTGTGATTGGGCGGGGAAAATCCCCTAATCAGGTTTTGTACATTGTGAGACAGTATTTTATTTTTACTGTCAAATTTTTTGTAACAAAGAGATTGTTTATTTTCGTCTAGTCGTAAGTCTTAGCAGATTAATTGGATTGGACTGAGCATATGATTGGTGGAGCTTTTCAACCCTTGCTAGAAGGTGGGGAAAGCTTACATAGTGATGCTAATCACAGGCTAGTGTTGGAATTGTCGTGGTGTGTTGGTCGTACATCTGGTCTGCTTATTGGGGCCACATGGAGCTTCGATTCAGATGGTGTGATCGTTGATGTGCTCCAGCTTGTCAGGAAACACAGATGGAGAGGAGGATCTTTGTTTTCTGGTGAAATCTGTCACCTTTGTCCTCTTATTGTTGATCTCTTATGTATGTAGTTGCTAGTAATCTATTATGTTAACCTTTGTGAAACTTGTTAGAATATTGCTACCCTTAGTTATAATAATAAGAGAAGATTGACTGGACTCCTTCAAGTCCCGTGGTTTTACTCTGCACACCAAAGAGGTTTTAAGTCTCTCATGTTATATGTTTGATTCTGTTTCTCAATTAATTTCCTGTCGATTGTGAATATTCTAGTGGTGATAGGAGTTCGGTGTAATTAGTTGAAACTTTCAACTTGAAAGTATAGATTTTTTTATCAAGTACAGTTGGTTCTTATCAAATTAAATTGCTGCTGTCAATTCAAATTATTTCAGATGCTGTGAAAACAGCAGCAGTTTAAGAGACAAGGTCATGGTGAACACAAATGAAGAAATTTATAGCAGATTGCAATGATTGATAAGAAATAAGATACCATTTTAAGATACCATGTTCTATATTGAAATCAGTTTTGTCTTAACCTAGAGCTCAATGGAACAAAAATACATTAGTGAAAATAATGTGGTATGATGTGCTCTTACTGCAATTTAGAACTAGAGTTTTAACTAGTCACAAGTTCAAAACCATCATATTTGCATGATTGTAGTCAACTTATGTAGGCCTTACTTTGTACTGTATTAAACAATCATTAAGGATATTCTTTGACTAAGTTTGAGCATATATATGAATTATGAAAAGCCTTGTAACACTTGTAATTATTTTGCATTAATTTATAATTAAGCATATGTTTTGGCTTTACAAAGAAACTAGGAACTAAGTGCTTGCAGGAGCATAGGTTAACTACTAGTCCTAAAGCATGTACCCTGCTTCTCAGCTCCTATAACCGGTGCTTCTGTACTTTCTAATTACCCTTGCCTGCTTCGTCTTTATTATCTTAATTTCTGAATGCCATCTTAATTTCTGAATGCTTGCAAGGATATACGACGATGCTTCATACCGTAGGCTATTGAACAGAAAGGATATAATCAGGCAGACTGAACTAATGTAACTGTAATAAAACCTGCAAAATTCCTTCAAAGTGCATACACCAAAATGGAGAATGATGACTATTATGCACATCAAAGATGCAATCGGATATGCATCCAAGCACAAAAAAAAAAAAAAAAGCAAAAAGAAATCGCAAAGTGGTATTTAACCGGTTAGTGTAGTTGTTTGACAAACAAATTACAAATGGGATTGGAAGGATTTGAGCATGTGACCTATCGTACACAAACCCTCAATCTTAACCATAAGGCTAAAACCTCATCGGTGCTAGCTGCTCTCATGTGCTTGGACATATTGTTAATACAGTTTAATTATAATTTGCATTACTTTTTAGCTGTACACACTCAATCCACATGGTCCTCTTGATTTAATTAGCATACATATGGGTAATTAATTAATTATTGCCACTCACAAATTTATATGCAAGCTACTAGCTAGGATAGACCATGTGGGGCAGGAAAAGATGCAAGTTTAATGGTCATTTTCTTTAGATGAATATAAACTTACAAAGAGCAGCATCTATGTAAACCAAATTTGTTAAGCTGTCCTAATCATTGGACCAACTATCATTAATATCGCACCTCTGCCCACAAACATAAAATAAATATATTAGAATATTACTACAAGAATTTTAGCAATGTAATTATTGTCAATCAGTTGGTTGTAAATTTGTATTCGTTACATCCCATGTAATTTTTGTCATGGCCAACATTGACAGATCTTCTAGAGTCTATTACCACTATTTCCTTATGGTCAATATGAAGCTCTATGTGTATCTAGATAAAATTATAAGTGATGTTACATTTTAAAATGATGTTAGATTAGATCGTCGTTTTATAAGACACATCTTAGATCACATATTTTACATCCAAATCTAAGATATATGAATGTAAGTGATGTTATGTTATATGGCAATCATCTGATTAAGTACGACAACACTATATAAAAACTAAAAAGACTTTACACAATTAGACGGCACTATTTCTTTGATGGTTTCAATTAATTTTTTTTTTTATGGTTTCGTATGGACTCAATTGAGAAAATTGAGAAAATCATAGGAAGTACGGAGTATTCTGTAATATATAAAGGTGTATACCGTATATATTTTGCATAAAGAAAGATAAAATTGGAAAAAGACACAAATAAAATAAAGAAAAATAATAATACAAGAAGACCATAACATGTAGTGGTATTGTCTGTATGCCACAAATGATGGATCCCATTTGGTGATCTTGTTCAAGTCAGTATGAGATAATTCTAATTGCCAGACAACTTTGTTTAGTTGAAGTCGGCCAGCATGTTTCACAGTTTCACACTACTGCCAGTTGACACTTCCTACAACTACAGTCCAACTTCAAACTCTTTAACTTTTATTTTTATTTTTATTTTTTTATTTTTTTTTATTTTATCTAATAATCATTTCTATTTTTTTTAGTTTGACGGGTTTATGTTTATTTACTCAATTAATAAACTCTAATTTTATCAATTAAAAAAATCTACATGTTACATGAAGATTATGGAAATAATTCTATCTCGTCAATATATAGTCTATAAATTCATACTTCATTGAATATAACACAAATTTGTTAATCAAAATATAAATTGAGAGAATTGAAACATAATATAATTTTACACGAAGAATTTAGTATTTTGTCCTACCAAATATCGTCACCAGCCATATAGGATATTGAAGGGTATACAATACAAAATCGGCACATAAATAATGTCTAGATTAAGTTGCAAAGTAAATCAATTTAGAAATGGATAACAATTATAACATGTGGCATAACATGACTTGGCATAAGAGTAATGTTGTGCTCAAAACTACCAAATCAGTGATACATCAAGACTCTAGGTCTCCCTATCGTGTCTAGTTTACTCACTAACTTAAAAGTACACCTTAAAAGCACAATTTAACATTTGCTTACATCGAAACACTTTTTATTCTCGACTTAAATTGAAACCTTCCACAATCATAAAACACAATCACTATATTAATAAGTGTCTTTTATCCATTCAGAAGTATATCTATGCTTTAAATCATGGAATATTGGAGTTCAATAAACATGAAACATCCATTCAATTTATTTGCTTCTAATCCATAATATTAACATTACTCCATACAAACATATTTTATTTACTCATTTACAAACACATCTTATTCATTTTTTTTCCTCATAAATACATAATACTCCATACTTTTTAAGAGATCTAATAGTATAATTTATAATAAACAATCAAAAATTCAAAACTTACCTTTTAAATACAAACATTTTATGTTTGATTTTTATAAAATTAGACAACAAATTACTTCATTTCAAATTTAAAAATCAAATTTTCTCTCTTAAACTCTTAATTTTTTCTAAATTAAGAAAGACAAAAATTAAGAAAGATAAAAAGTAAAAAAAAAAAAGAAATCTTGCATTCAATATTCCCCAAATTTTCCTCACTTTTTCACTCCCTCCCCTTCTTCTTCCTCTTCTTCTTCCTTCCTCCAACTTTCTCTCTCCTCACTCAGGTAATTCTCTCTCTCTCAACAATGTCGCTCCTCTTCCGAGACAGGAGCTCACTCGGCGATTCCAAACGCGAAACCACTCCACCACCACCACAACAACCACCGTCTCAACCACCGTCATCTTCTCTCTCCTCTCCCTTCGCCGCCGACCTCACTTCCTCCCTCTCTCTCCTCGACCTCCGCTCCACCGCCTACGAAATCTTCGTCGCCGCTTGCCGCACTTCCTCCGGCAAAACCCTCGCTTCTTCCTCCTCCTCCTCCCCTACCTCCGCCGCACCTGCCTCCAATGGAGGCGGAGGCTCCGGCGGAGGTGGAAACTCCGGCGGATTGCAGCGGTCGTTGACGTCGACGGCGGCGAGTAGAATGAAGAAGGCGTTAGGGTTGAGATCTTCCGGGTCGTCGAGTTTAGGGTTGAGGAGGAGTAGTAATGGCGGTAGTCCGGTTGGTGAGAGTAGCCCTAAGAGTAAGCCTTTGACTGTTGGTGAGCTTATGAGAGTTCAGATGAGAGTTTCTGAGACTGTTGATTCTAGAATTCGGAGAGCTTTTCTTAGGATCGCTGCTTCTCAGGTCAGATCTCGCTATTTTTCGCGGCATTTGGTTGAATTTTTTGTTTTATTTCGAGTTTTCGGAGTTTTTATATCGTAATGTAGGTGAATTATGGTTATATTTTTGTGAATTTTCGCCATTGTTGAAGAATTTGAGCTCAATTTGTTAGATAGTTGTACTACAGTTTTACTATTTGCTGGAAATTAAGTTTGATCTTATTTTCAATTTTATAAATCTTTCAGTATTTTTTAGATTAGTGAATTTGATAAATAATTGTTTAATTGGTGATCCGATGTATTGGTCAGCTTAGGATGATGAAATTGGTAAGTATGAGAAACTTAATCAAATTGAGCTTTTAATTGGCATGTTTGTCGGTGGATTCTATCTTACTTCACGCTAAAGATTTAAAAGGAAAAAGGAGCTTTTTTGGTAATATATTAGGTTGTTAATTGCTGTATTATTATGCGTGATAATCAATTAGGTTGGTTGGTGAGAGGTATTGGAACTTGGAAGGCGCGTAACTGCGTAAGCATTCTTCATCTTTCATTCCCCCCTTTCCCCTGCAAGGAGAGGGAGTAGGTTCATTTGCTCAAATCATGTGTATTTGACAATTTTTTTTATTTGAGTTTAGAGAGAGACAAGCTAGTTGACATCAAGTGTTTCATTGAATGCGGAGTATATAGTTGTATATAGCTATTGGCTTGTAGTTAACACTGTGCTATTAGCACGTCCGCTATGTTATGGCCTTCTATAATACACTGAATGTATATGGTGCTACTATTCTAGCGCTGATAGCACCAAAGTAAAAACTTTTCTGGCACTGAACTGGGTTAATGAATCTCGAGTTCTTAAATGCTTTCTAGTTGAATTGAACTTCAAAGTTTCAGCATTCTCCGGTCTGCAAGGAATAGTGGGATTTTTTTTTTCCATGAAAGGAAAGGATGTGTGTTATATAACATTTATTGGCTTTTAAGAAAGTGTTAAAAGATCTCCAAGATTTACTTAAAGCGTAAATCTCAAAACCAAAGTACCCAAAATGAACTAGTCAAGAAATTTATTGAAGTGCCTCTAGACATCTTAAGGGGGAAAAT